AGGGTCGATTCCCTTCAAATATCTGGCCTGTTACTGCAGCCACCAACAACGCACTTGATGGGCATTTCATTCGCGAAAGAGCATAAAAATCGATATTAAATAAGATTTTTGGAGTTGACTCGCGATAAAATCCACTGCCAAGCTTCGATAACAACAAATTGCCTTGTCCTGGGATGACGTCAGAGTCAGTCCCAGTCTTTCCCGGTATTGAACCAAAAAAAAAGAACTCAAAGTGGACAGTTTCGTATGTTTGTAAGCTCTCCAAAAATTCGCTTTTTGATAAAAATGAAAAATTCTTTCACAGATGCGTTTCCATTAACCTCAATTTTCATTTTAAAGATTAAAAAAAAATCGTGAAGGTGCACTTTAAAGGGATCAATTCAATGATTTAGCTGAAGAGGGACTTTAATCTTTCTTCCTCGTTACTAAATCTGTAATAATAGCATAGCAATGACGTACTTTTCTTGTAGGTTTGTGGCTGACAACTGACCAACGAGCTGAATTCAAACTGAAAACTGTGAAATAAAGCCTCCCATTACACTGCCCTATTGATGATTATGTTAATGGGATATGAGATCCTCGCAGCTATTCATACGATCATATGCCAATAAGGTTGCGGTGCTATCTGATTGGTTAACTTAATCAAATTAAGCATCGATATATCACAGCGGCTTTTAAAGCGTGCACTTTAAATTTCAAGTTGTTTAGTGATAAATTAGCCTTAAAATATAAAAAAAGAACTTAGTATTATCTTAAAGAATACCGAACATTGCTCTAACGATAAAATATAACGTAAATTTCATATAAATCATGCAAGTAGTTTGCACTTAACCCCTAGAGGACCGGCGTTTATTTGTTGATTTTTGAGCTTTTTCGACCCTAACATCTTGATAAAATAATTGACTTCCATATAAGGTGCTGTCAATAAAACTATTTCGGATTTGAATTCCCTAGGGAGCATTAATTTATGCAGGGCTTTGTATATTTAGGTCAGACCGTTTGTTTATCGAGCGGTTGCGCCTAAATTTACCTAAAAACCCGTTTATAAGTGTTTTTTTGAGCTTTTTGCTGCCACAGGAGCCCCTAGGCTTGCATCATTAAGCTTGACTAGTCGGCAGAGACAATCTGAGGTGGAAAGCGATTTTTCGAAGACAATGGCTTCATGTCACGCTTTGTTTTGAACTAGAGACATCATGACTAGATCGCTTTCCTGGTCCATCTGTGGCAGATTTTCCAACCTCCAAGGTAATTTTGGCAATATTTGACAACCAAAGAATGCAATTGGCCCGATATTTTGCCTGTAGGTGCGGAAGAGCTCACACTTCTAAAATAATTCTTAAATAAAGAATGCTGGAAGATTGATGTCCTGATGACAAATTGACTGATGTCCAAATTTTGTCTCTTCCCGTGATGCATTTCGGTCGTTCACAGGAGTTTGTTGTACCGGGTGTTTAAAAGAGGGCTGTTGAGAGGTCTGCAGCGACTTTGAAAGAATAAAAATGGCAAAACGAGGACGTGCTATAAAAGGGGTTTGCAAGTGAAGTAGACTTTTTGCTAGAAAAACATGTTTTGACGCTCGAAATTGAGATGGAATTTAGTGTTGCCTGTAGTCCTCCAAACGCAAATTTTGGCATTCASTTCAAAGCAGAGTACTGTTTCGTGCCTTTTTTACCTCGTTTGAGAACTCTTTAAACTTTAAGAACGACAYGRTTTACTAGTGAGTTCGTACRAGCAATTTCAGGGCAATAGCTTGCTATTTCGGTAACTTATCAAGTTTAGACGCATCGATCGGTTTTCCACACACGTATGTCTGGTTTGTTCCCTAGGGGTTAATGCCGGTAACTGCCGGTTATTGTAAGAAATCATTTATTCTTGTTGTAATATTCCTTTTGGTTAAATCTATTGCATTCCATATTTGTACTATGTATGGTGCAAGTCTAACAGTTCAATTTATATGCCTATATGGAAGTACATAGCTTGTCCTCACAAGAGTAAACCCATTCATTGACGAGGATAGAGCATTATTTCATTAACCGATATTTTCGACAAGAAAAGATACTCGCAGGATTAATTTGTGGCTGACAACTGACAAAACTATCAAAACAAAAACTTAGTATTACTACACTATTGATAATTATGGTACGGTAATGCCAATTTTTTGACTTATGACATCCTCGCAGCTATTTTCGATCATATAACTTTATATGCTGTCTGATTGGCTAACCTGTAACAAATTAAGCGTCGATATATCAACGGGTCTCTTAAGAGGGTGTCTCTGTAAAAACCACCTGACAATTTTTCGAAGAAAAATAGATTTCTCTGATACTCTAGTATATTAAAGGTATGCTATTGGGAACTACTAATATTGATTTGGTTTGTTGAAAAATTCTTTTAGCATTTTTCTACAAGCCGATGAGTGAAAACCTCGAAAACGAGCCGATTTTATAGCGAAATACTGACATTTTAACATGCCTGTAAAAAAATAATTTTACACTTAATCTAAATTTTCTTTTCGTGATTCTTGTATCTATTCCTTCTAGTTTCTTGGAATATTAGACTTGAACAAATTTTATTTCATTTTTGGGGAGTTTTAGTTTATTTTTGACACCCTACCGAATACTAATATGTAAATAGGACAACTTTAAGCGCTTATTACAAAATCGTGGCACCTCGATGAAACATTTTGTCCATGCCAGCGCGAAGTACGACTAGTAGTACTTGTAAAACGCCAATAAAATCTTTCTGCTCTTTCTTTTTAAACATAGGCGAAACTCGTAAACATTGTCAATTTGCACGGTTTGTCACGTTCAGTGAGACTTCGTCAGTCTGCAAAATCAATATCAAATATTAAATACCTTTAATTTGCATCTTAGAACTCCTGATGTTGACCTAAATTGTGCTTTGAATCGTTCTTGGCAAATATAGCAAGCAACCTGTAAGCTTCAAAACAATCGCAGCCACGGACAAGCATGAACAGTTCCAAATTGTTGTAAGTTATAGCTTACAGAGACCTGTAGCGACCTATATAACAGTAATATGTTGGAATATCGAGCAAAAAGCTTTTAGAAATGTGAGGAATCGATCCTGTACGTCCACTTGTTGTTTGTTTATACTCGTCCCAGTCTCCCGCAGAATTTAAAAAAATATTGTTCACAATCGGGTGCACAATTAAATAAAGTGGATGAATTTTAATAATAGAGCATGAAATGAGCCTTATAATAATAATAACAATAATAATAATAATTAATGTGGTATTTTATAGCCACAGCCACCAACCCTCTCCCCCCTCCACCAAACAGCGCAAATATCCGTAAGTTCATATGCGCTTTACAATAAGAAGATTTGTATAACAATAAAACTTGTAAAAAAAGATTACTTTTAGTTAAACCTTCTTTTAATCTTAAACTTTATAGGGCGTTTTATATTATACTACCAACTGATATCAGATCTAGCTCTTCCTTATCAAATTTAAACTTTAAAGACCTGGCTCTTTTCAACAGGCATACTCGCAGCCGTTCTTAGTGCCGGGCTCCCTGTCCCCCGCCCCACAAACGGCTGCTTCAATCCGAGCTTTGATCGTTTCCCTTTGTCTTTTTCCTTCTTGGGGATCTATTTGAATTAACCAATCACATACCATGACAGTCTACTCCAGCTGTTACCGCAAAGCCAATGAGACGCAGCGTAATAAAAGTTGATATTTTGTTTGCGCCAAACTTCGTAAAACCGTTAAAACTCATCCGAATATAACGATAAATCAATCAAGATGTTTTACTTGTTCTGTTGGCGGGAGCTGCAGCTGCAAGGAAATGAAAGCCGAACTGTGATTGGAGAAACGATTAAAGCCCGGGTTGAAGCAGCCGTTTGTGGGTCGGGGAACAGGGAGCCCGTCACTAAGAACGGCTGCGAGTAGACCAATTTTCTTCAGTATATTATTTTATAATGTATAAATTTAAGATTTGTTTGTTTTTATTAAAATATAACTATGTTGAAATGATAAAAATTCTTGTAAAAAAGTATTACTATTGAAGTCAATGACATTATTGTTATGTTGCTTACTTTTTTACTTGTTACCAGTATTTATAAGGCTCATTTCATGTGCTATGCACTAGTAGTCAATTGACCACCTCCCCCAGTGGAGCGCTGAACAGGGTCGTGAAGCGTTTTCAACGTGCATTTAACAGCAAGATTGCTCCGTGGGTGGGGATGTTGTTGAATTGGTTTTTGAAGCGGGGCAAAGATTAGGGATTTTAGCTTTGAACAACAATTTTTAATTGCATGATTTTTTTTTAAAGAAACGCATGTTTTTCTCCGTCCAGTTGGCAACAGTAGTGTGCGTGGATTTTAACAATGAATGTAGCCCGACTACCGGGGGAAATGTTTGATTTTAACACCACTCAAATTCCCCGGTATTCCCCGGATGTCGAGGGGCGGTGTTCAATGGATTAGTGCATAACGTTTATCCACTTTATTTATCTAACCAAAATATCTAAAGATGACTTGTGCACAATATATTTTGTCAATTCTGTGGGAGACTGGGACGAGTATAAACAAACACCACGTGGACGTACAGGATCGATTCCTCACATTTCTAAAATCTTTTTGCTCGATATTTCAACATATTACTGTTAAATAGGTCGCTACGGGTCTCTATAAAGCTATAACTTTATTTGGAAATATTTATTTTTATATCACTTATCGGCTTGTAAAAAAAATATTAAAATGATTTTTCAGCAAACCAAATCAATATTATTAGTTCCCAATAGCATACTTTTAGTGTACTAGAGTATTAAAGAAATCAATTTTTCATCGAAAAATTGTCAGGTGGTTTTTACAGAGACACCTTCTTAAAATGTGCACTTAACATTTCAAGCTATGTGACTAAATTAACTTCAACATATCAACAAAAAAAAGAACTCAGTACTATTTTAGCGACCATTGCTCTAACGATAAAATATAACCTAAATTTCATATAAATCATACAACTAGTTTTCACTTCATAGCCGGTACTTTATTGTAGACAAATCATTTGTAATTGTTGCATTATTCCTTATTCTTTTCATTAAACCTATTGCATTCCATATTTGTACTATGTATTGTGCATGTCCAACTGTTCAATTAGCTTGTTCATAGCTTGTCCTCAAAGGGTTAACCATTCATTGACAAGAAGGACAGTCAGTTATCTTATATTATCATTTGCTAATTGTGACTTGCAGATTGCATATAAGAAGAGTGCATGCATTTGGCCGTTCAAAATACTCTACATCCATAAAGTTCCATTCTCAGTGCCATATAGCTATAGTATGCCTTTGGCAGAAGTCTGATATACCTGGCAGTTATAGCAGGATCAAGGTTATTTTTTACAACCGTTGTTCGATCCGAATTTCCAGACAAAGTCTTTCCACCTTCATAGTCTTTGAAGCTCGTTCCATCTTCACTATACTGCAGACTGTACGTCTTAACCCAGTGGGATTCACTTTGAGAGCCTTGTGTCGCAATAGCTGTAATTCTGGTTACATTGCTCAAGTCAACCTGTATCCACTGTCCTATTGTATTTGAGGCAGGTATCCATCCACCGTACCCAAGGAGTACATTCAGTCTAGCATAAGATGGCAACCAGATTCCACTTATATACGACGAAGCGGTTATTTTTGAATCAGGGATGTCCATGCTTTGCATACCAAGTGTGTCATTGCATCTGCCTGCGAGAAGAAACATTTCAAATTTGAATAACTTGTGCAAGACAGGAAAGGAAGAAAGGTGAACCGGTTGACAAGTCAACCCCATTATTTAATAATCCAAATTAACTTAAAGAAGAAACTTAAAAGAAATCAGTTTGTTCGAATATCCAAGACCGCCACAATTTTGAAATGGAATGTATCTCTCATTACATGTCATTTACTATAATCCCTCTCTACGTAAAGAAAAAAAAAAACATTTGTTGAAATTTAAACTGAAAGAAAACAATCAAAGTAATTGTAAAACAAAGCTGTGCATGCATTTTTCCATTATTTTCGTGTTTTGCGCACTCATTCTCACTTGACTCATGTCATTTCTTTGACAGCTTTGAATTTCACTGGTAAATTTGTGTTACGCGATGAAAGAAATGTAAGTAAACAATATACAGGCAATCAAGGGGTATCGATAAAAAGCTGAAACTGAAAAAGCTGAAAGAGCTGAGAGAGCTGAAATTCCAGAAATTCCAGAAATTAAGATAATAAATTTTAGCGATTTGTTTCGAATTACAAGTTTAAAAAGTTTTCCTACAAAGATAACGCTGTCACACGTTGCAGTTTTTGTTTCGGGCAAAAAGTCGTAGTTAAACAGAGCGAACTTATACAATCAGTCTGTACACAGGCTTATATTTGTTTTGATAAGAACTCTGGTTCACTTTTGACCTTAGCTGTCAAAAAGGACGATGATGAGGTATGTTATAAGTTACTTTTTTGGGAGATGCAACACCTTTCCCTCATTGTTCATTGGTCAACAAAGCCAGCCACCTATTGTGAGGTCATTTGCGGGGACTTTCGTAGGTTTATTATTAAAATATGGACAATGTATTGTTGTTATTTTTTGCTAGGATGCTATTTTTTGTCTGTTTTGTTGTTGTTGTTGTTGTTGTTGTTGTTGTTGTTGTTTTCTCGTCAACCAAACCATGGTCAAAGTTCGCGGATTGTATACTGGTTATATATTTCGTGTTTCAGGGACGTCCGTCACTCGTATGTTTTCGTTGTACCATGATAACTATCAGTGATGATGGGTAATTACCAGAGAGAGTATCGGTTTATAGCGCTGGTCATGCACCGGGTTCCTATTCCTGTCTAGCTTAGTCACGCTGTAGTTCCGTTCTGACCAGATACACGTCGAGTTCTTTCTCTCTTTTACTATAAATCGAACCAAGCAAACGCCCTCTCGTCGGTTCAAGACAATCTCTAGCGTTTCTCGTTCTCACTCAAATCATGTCACGAAAAACGCCGTAATTGATTAGGTTGTTGTTCTTGGTAGAAGGTGAAAAAGCCTTAACTGACTGTTTGCGTAACAAAAGAGTCATTTAACTACGCATTAAATTCGTTCAAGACATTTTAATGACAAAATAACAAATGGAAGAAACAACAATTCTACTGAGCAATCCATAATTTTAGCTATAGTCTACTATAAAGGATGCTACAAAGCTCGCTTGTGTTGTGAGTTTTGTTTGGTAATTTGGAACGAAAAAGATTTATCATGAGTATCTTAATTTCTGGAATTTCAGCTCTTTCAGCTCTTTCAGCTCTTTCAGCTCTTTCAGCTCTTTCAGCTCTTTCAGCTCTTTCAGCTTTTTATCGATACGCGGCAATCAAGTCAGTCGAACTCTAAATCATTTAACATAAGTGTATGCATTATCTTTTATTGATTAAAATTATATCCCAACTTTATAAGTTTACGTGCGCTTATTAGTCGAAACACGTCACGTGACTTATATCAGACGATATTTGCCCTCTCAGTGCTGATTCAGTTGATACTACGGACACGGAGATTCAAAAATTTAATCTACAAACATAATAACAACACCCAGTATGTTGTAAATAGTTTAATGGCGAGATGAAAATGCTCCTGGGATGAACGTTTTAATATCGAGTTTCGATGTTCAAATTTTAAATGAAATTTGCCGTCTCCAAGTCTCTCAAACTCGATCGTCTTTTATGTGGATTTTACTTCTGCTGACATCAAAACAATTCAGAACAAAAAAGCAAGGGAAATTTTTTTTTTAGAATATGCATGTTTCAAAATAGGATATCACATAAAAGATAACGAAGCTTCAAGCATATTTTTAAAACGCTATTAATATAAACTTCCCTTCTATCCATACCTTTCTCGCAGTTTTCTCCTTCAAATCCATCACGGCACTCGCAGTGAAAATGCTGCCTGTTTTCCTGGAAGACGCACTTGCCACCATTACGACAAGGGCTTTCTTGGCATGGATTCTAACACAAGAATATAATAGTTGAAATTATATATCATGATTTCCTAATGCCATACGAAGTTGCACTTTAAATAGGGGAGAAACGGTAGTCAAAAATTAATATGAAATAAAACCGAAACATCTTTATTCCTGCATGTTATATAAACGGTTTTGATGGACAAAAATTGCAAGTGGGATACAAAACCTGTTTACTTTTTTAACAACGCTTTTCTTATTGCGTTTAAGCTACAATAGTTTCAATAAACAATCTTTACCATTCAGTGGACACAGAACGTTGTACATATGATGAGTATTTTAGATGAACAAATAAATTGTTTAACTTATTCTATTTTCACTAAAATTGCTTTTGAAACCAAGACACGAAATATCACTAAAAGATTCGAATTATAAGTAACATACCTTGACGCTGTAATGATTGTACGCTTTACTTGGACCCATGTACTCTTTCCCAGCGAACTGTTCGGATGAAATCAGCTGGCAGGCATGGAGACCGTTCGAACGAGGGGCGCTTTTAAAATTGATTGAACGGCACCAATGGACACCCATGCATTCGAACACGCAGTCCATGTTATCAGCAACATACTTGGTCTTCTTCATTGCTCCCTTTGGAAGGGTAAGCTTTTGAGCAGGATAAAAGTCGAACAAAAGTCCCTTTTCCCTGTCGTAGTTTGGAGGGTAAGCCGAATGACAAGAGATAAGTTGTGCTCCATTCAAGAGAAATTGCAAAGGCTGATAGTCTTAGCAAAAAAGACATGTTCCTTCTCAGTAAGAAGGGATGATTAGAGTGGTACAAGTATGACATACGAGTGACTTTTAGTCCATGGACGCGTATAACGGTAAAAAGTGATTGGACGTTTGCTAATACCAGATGTTTCACAAACGTTTCATTTTCAATGATTATATGATGTAAGACAAACAATTTTTATCTAATACGAAAAAAATGGTTTTATTGTTGAATCATTGATATTGTTCCAAAATTGAAAAACAAATACCGAAGCATTGAAGATCTCAGAAGGGATCTTTAGTATTCAAGTATTTCCGATTGAAATAATTCTCAATAAAACTAACAAGTACTAGATCAAAGCATGAGAAAAGGGAAGAGCTTTTAGGGAAGAAACTTGTAAAACTTTGGTATAAGGGGAAGGGTTGAGCAATGGCTGTAGGATTATTAATACGTGTTCAACTAGAAATCGACTAAAGCTAACTATAATACATTAAAACGTCTGACATTCAAATGTTTTTATTTAGTTCTTCCAAAGCACATTTACTCACTCGATCTACCGCAAACAGTAACCAATTACGGTTAGACATTTCAATGAAGGCAGAATATTTTCTCGTAAATTGGACTTCCTGGGTGTCATCTCTAAAAGTTTTTTTCCGGAATGTTATTTTTCATGCCAGGACTTTCACAAAGTTTTTTATTGAATGTAGTGCGTGGGCAATATAAGTTTTTAGCAAAAACGACTGTCAGAATGAGAGCAACTGAACTTAAAAGATGTTAAATCAAGTAGCCAGCACACGTGTAATTTTTGCAAGTCAATTGAAACATAGATTTAAACTGTGAGCACTTTGAAATAAAGTGAAATCATTTAAAACCTCTTAAAAACGTTGGACAATATCAAATCACTTTCTGCGTCCCAAGTCTAAATTTCGAGGCGATTGTTACTAAACTTACAACCTAAGGATATCGTCTTTTATCATATAATTATCTATGAAATACCTATATTTCTCCATTACGTAAAGTTGTTATTTTCAATAGTGAAAATAGCACATTCGAGGTTTCTCTATTAGTGGAAGTAAGAAAAACGACATAATTTACTTTCATATGTGATTATATGATAAACAGAATATTACACCTGAATTGTAAGCTTTTATCATTTCGGATTCTACTCAAAACTCAAAATTGCTGACTGTCTCTCTATAATTGTACAAAATGCAAGAGGGCAATATTGTTTAAAACGCTACACGCTGCATTAACAGATTTTCTGACTAAGAAAAGTAAAATGAACATTATTACAGAATAAACAATGGAATGGAAAGGGATGACATTTACAAAGCAATTTTTAAAAGCACCCTTAAGACAAGAAAATGTATAAAAGATATTAAAGATATCTGCACGAAAAATACTTTTAAAATATTATGCGTGGAGGCAGTGCAAAAGAACTGAGAAACTGAATATTAAAAATATTGGGCGATCACACATACTTGGATTCCTTGTTTTAATATAATTATTGAAAGCTTGACTACTTTTCAATTTGCGGATGATTTTTAAAGTGTTTGTACTTTTTATTACAACATCATCTTCACCATTGCTTATATCACAAAAATCAAAAGTCATATCTCTGTATGGCTGCAATCAAAGTGATTTGAAAATTGAACAATGTAATAAAGTCGTCTACTTGTAAAGCAAAGCGCTTGCATGCTGTTAGTATAAGATTGAATCTGGTCGTGTTGTATTGCAACAATGATTATTTCAAACGTCTTCCTAAATGACTTTCTATAATTTAGGGAATACTATCAAGGCAAATGTAAAGATCCAAAGATTCAATGGAATAAATGATTTCAGATTTATTTATTTTTTTAGGAAAACGAAAAATTTGTTTGTAAAAAGGGTACAGATTGGTTTATTCAATCCACATGATTCAATACACAGGAATCCCATGTAAAGAGTAAGGGCAACATTTACATGAGTTCCGACAGCTGTTTTTATTGACATTACGTACCCGCAGTATCTCAAGTTTAGACAACCTCCATACAAGCGATAGAAGCCAAAATTGATTCAAGGAACTTATATATTCATCGTTATCCGAAAATAATTTTACATACAATTGTGGTTATCACAGTGTAAAAGAGATCGCAAAACTCAAATGCTCTAATTTTACATTTGGTCACTTTACTTCTTCCAAAATACATTTCAACTCATCTGATCTAACTTAAACAATGACCAATTAAGACAAGACATCTCAATGAGGGAGAGTTGTTCATTAATTCTGGATGTCACACCGGTGTCATCCCTAAAAGGCTTTTCGGGATGTTATCATTTCCTGAGAGGAGTTTCACAAAGTTTTCTTGCAAGAAGTGTGCATACAACTTTTTTTAGCAAAAAATTAACAAATAAACATGATGAGAGCAACTACACTAAAAAGATGTTAAATCGAGCAGGCAGCACATATGTAATTTTTGCAAGTCAATTGAAACATAGATTTTAACTGTGAGAACTTTCAAATTTAATGGGACCATTCCAAACCGCTTACATGTAAAAATGTTGGACAATAGTCCAAATTTAGTTGATTGTTTTTAAACTTTACAACCTAAAGATATTGCTTTATTTTTTCCGAATTGACTACATAGTTATGCAACGCAAAACGTTATCTAAGATTTATAAAACACCTGGATTTTAACTCTTTCTGTTTTACGGATTCTACTCAAAACTCAAAATTGCTGACTGTCTCTCTACAATTGTACAAAATGCAATATGTCTTAAGCTGCAGCGTAAACAGATTTTTGAAAAAGGAAAGAAAATGAACATAATTAAAATATAAAAAATTATGATAAAAGTTGACATTTACAAAGCAATGTTTAAAAGCACCCTCAAGAGAAAGAGAAAAAAGGGAAATAAAAGATATCTACATGAAAAATACTTATTATCGGCAGGGAAAAAGAACGAGGAAACTAAAATTAAAATCATTGATGTTATAGTGTGTCAGACGATCACACATCGCATACATGATGAATTTCCTGTGCTAATTATGAATAGCTGAACCTGCTTCAATGCAATATGCGATTGATTTTGAAATTGTTAAAAGTGATCTTTGTACTATTTAAAAGCAACAAAAAAACTATGATAGTTAGTTCTTGTGTATGGCTGTAAGCAATTGGGGTTGAAAATTGAACAATATAATATAGTGCTTGCAATCAGCGCCGAAAGACTGTATCTGGTCGTGTTTTCTGATTGCAACAAAGATTATGTCAAAAGTCTTGATAAATGTAGAAAATCAGCAATAAAAGCAAATTAAGGATTTAAAATTATTCATTATTTCATTCACTAACAATCCGTGCAAATGCAAGAGATGAATATAGAAGGCAATGAAAACAGTTTGAATTATTTCGAGTTTTATAAACTTTTTGGCAAGTGGACAACAGTTCGCGAAACGCAACTATTCTAATTCACAAGACAATAACGTTGACAGTCAATGATTTTAAAAAGTTTGTGCTTAGAATAATGAATTCTAAAAACCTTCATCTCTACTTATATTTACATAAGGATATTTTTGGTGAAAGATTACATATCCAATCGGAATTATCTGTAAAAAATATGTTAAGTGACACGGACGGGATTCCATTCAATCACTTCTTCAAACAGAGGAAAAGATTATGTATAGTTTAAGACACGAGAGAGAGTGATTTCTCAGGTATAAAGATTCGAGYCGAAGGCGAGAATCTTTATACATGATAAAACACGAACTCGAGTGTTTTAAACGGCTTCAAAAACTCCAACACTAATTTGAAACTCAAATCCATTAAAGTTCTTGGAGAAATTGCCGTACAAATAGGTTCTGAGATAAATAGGGCAAACTGATCATGCGCGAATCACTTTACAAAGCACTCTTGTCATCCCACATTGAATAGACGCATAAAGTAAATTATAAAACTCATTAATATTCATAAGGCAAAACACAATAGAAATCATAGCCCATGAAGAGAGTTGTATATTACATACAGATTTCTTGTTCATTTGCATAAACTTTAACTCTGATTTTCTCGGTCAGATTGATTTTTTTTTCAAAAGTTTCTTTAAAACCTGAGCTAGTTTACCTCAACGTTTCATAAGTAATATACAATATNTTCCCTATAAAAAATGTCAAATAAACAGTAAATACAGGGGTACTGTGCAAATGGAATTTGAATGAAGGTGTTAAATAGGAAAATTTCAATATATTCAATGTATTTTCAATTGAAATTATACGTTGTCCCTATAGATAATCTAATTCCGGAACAAAATCATCAAAATCAATATTTGCTATACGGGGACGTGCCGCTGGGCAGGGTATGGTTTTTGGCCTTGTTGTCTTAAACAGGGTATACATTTCACCCGAAATTGTCTTAAACAGGCTCTACAATTTAGATAAAAGGCCGATATAATTTTTTGTGTGTCATGGACAGGGTAATATTTTTGTAAAAAGCACCGTACAAATAGTAGAAATACCGTTTCACTTTCCCAGGATTAACGTGCTTTAAAAAACTTCTTATTGTCTTTGATGATGTCATTATAAATGCAGTTTTGATGGTTGCGGCGTAGATAGCTATTGCTTATAGTTATAACTGTTATGGTTGTCCTGGCGCCCTTGCTGGGACCGCTGGATTACGTCTTGTAGAAAGGGCTTCTGATTAACATTCCCACTTACCTCAAACGTCTTCTAAACCAATTTGTAGCGGCTTTCGCAAATACATCAATAACAGCATAAGCTGCTAGATAGTCATCGAAAAATGAATCAGACATGAGCACCACTGTGTTAAGCTGTGTAATTTTGTATGGGAATTGCTTGCAAGGTTTAGGACATCCACACTTGGCTCCAGGATTGTCACTTGGCTGACCGTCTGAAAATAAGGTCATTTGTTATTGTTGT